CTCCATCAATGAATCCAACCAGGCCTATCCAGACTGCGATCAGGTCTTAAATGTGTTTAGTGCTGCTGGTGGGGCGGTAATTGCCTTAGCAGGCTAGCAGGCTGGCTGTAATGACATTATCAACCTGTTAACAACCACGGAGGAGCTTGAGTTGTTCCTCTAAAGCCTCTGTCATCCGTCAGTTTATAGTCAGTTGCAGTGTTGTTTATCTACAGTGCTATTTGTTCAGGTCTCTCATGATTTTAGGGTTGCATTTGTCATCATCACTCAATAATCAGAGGCTCTGATGTTTTCAGACAGAGATGTTCAATATCCAATATTTGTTTAACCAAAAAAGGCTTGTAAATTGTAAAGCTGTGTTAAATGATGTCAAGAGACATACAGGAAGTATTCAAATTCATTCATGTTCACCAGGGGGCAGCATCAACACATTTTTCAGTCCACCTCATTCATCCCAACCCCCAGTTCAGAGATTATAACCCGACTAATTTAGGAACACAAACAAACCACTGTTGCTGTACACAGTTATCTATGGCATCTGTTTCATCATATTTGCACATAAATGCAGACAGTTTTGGTTACCACCATACTGTCCTATTCTGTTGCTTGGCAGGCTCTGACATTAATTTGTTTATTTAATTTGAATCACACAAGCCTTCCGCATACAAACAAGTCCTTTAACTGTAAATGAGAAAAGAAAGGATTTGCATTGCAGGTCAGGCGAACCCTGATCAGTAAGCAACATGTACCATATGAAATAGAAAGAAGAAATTACATTACTGGTTGCATTACCGGATCAGTTCTAGGTGTCTTTATAAACACTTACATATAAATCAGCAGGTAGCCCTTGTAGCTACTAAGGTCCTTACCACAGTAGCCCGCATTCGATTCCAAACTGTGGCCCTTTGATCATCATCTTTGGAAATTTGAGGACCTTGATTAGAATTTAAAATTAAGTTTTGTAGGTTTGACCAATGATTCTCTGCTCTACAAGATATAGTGTGTTAATTATGAGCTTTAAAGGATGCTGGTAAGCAAATTTTAACCAGTTAACCAGTTGCTAGCTGTATTTATCTTACAGATATGAAAGCTGTATCGTTCCTCTCATCTAACTCTGAGCAGAAAAGTGTCATTTCAAACACACATTTTTTTTCTTTTAGAAGTTTTTTCCCCACTCTATCATAAACTATGTCTAGTTTCAGTTCCTCCGGTGAGCCTGAAAAGAAATAAACATGTATACAAAGAAGACCACAGCCTCAGATGAGACTGTGCTGTGGGCTTAATGCTAATGCTAATGGTATGCTCACAATGACAAAATACTAACATGCTGGTGGTTTAGTTTAGCATGCATGCTAAGATATGAACACAGACATTCCCAGTACAGCTGATGCTGATGGGAATATCCCGAGTGGGGCTTGAATGTGTATAGCAAAGTTTAAGGTAATCCATTCAAGACATTTCACTCAAAACCACAAATGTGAAGCTAATGATGGCGAGAGTGGGCCTACTGGAGAGAAAAGTCATAGCACACATACCCAAAGCATTAACGCAATGTACAGTTGGAATAATTCACAATAAACCATTTACTGTATTTACTGCTTTTTCCCCATCCTGTCTCATCCTGACATACATTTGAGGGGGAAAAAAACCCGAATACAGTAAAAGAACTACAAATAACTCCTGTTCCTAACATTTTTGTCTGTGTTATTCATCCTCAGTGTTAAGAACAAATGTACATTCTAACAAATATCCAGGCAATTTGGTATAACAATAATATAATCTGTATTCAGTTCCAGTACACTTCAAAATGGCAGCCTGCCAACTGTTTACTGTGAAAGCACATATGACGTGCTGTAAGATTTGCAAGGTAAATTAGACAGCAAATGAATGTCAGTAACATGTAATGACTGTAAGGTGAATGCAAGTCACTGTGGAGAGTGACAACGCAGGTATCATCATTCAGGTAATGGAAGGCACTTAAAATAGATATATCTTTAGATTATGGTCAGTCACTTATTATCCTTATCCCATAATCTACTGCATGTTGTTCTTACTCTAAAGGATGATGTTACAACGCGGTGGAAAGAGTCGCTGGGTGTTTGCAGTGGACATAGCGACCCTGTTTTGTGGAATATTCCTAACAAACAGCATACGTGAGAGCTCAGGTTAGTAAATTAACAAAAACTAATCTGAAACAATATTTCTCAACACAATTCAGCAACTCTTTTTCTGATTAAAATGCCTTTTATATTTCTCATCTTGTATATTTTTTTACAGGCAATGAGATCTGCCAACCAAAAAACTTCCTGTTTATCAGTAACAAACAGCCAGGCATTGCATTTCATTTCCCATCAGGTAAGCTTGAGAACATTGTGGAAGCATAATTGCATGCAGCTGAAAACTGAAAAGAAAAAATTCAGAGTAAACAGTGGTTTCACATCATATTTCAGAGGCGATCTATCACGAGGACAGTGGAAGTAAACTTTGTTTCAATATCTTGGCAAACAATACAGGTAAAATTAAGTGATTAATAGTCTGATTTGAGCCCATAGATAGAATTCAATTTGTTCTCTTGGTCATTTGTGTATTGTGGTTTGTATTTTTAGACTGTTGTAACAAAGAAGATTTTGACTGCAAATTTGAAAAAAGTCCTCAACAGCAACAATCAAACTACATCCGCCTAATTCTGGATAAAGAGATTCTATCCAAGCAGGATATTGTCCTGGTAAAAATACCAGATGATAACTTCGAATGTATGCCATCAGTGTTCTACAGCAAAAAAACAGGTATTGACAGACCCTTTGCAATGTGAACTCCTACAAAATAAATAATAATTAGGTGTGGACAGTGCCAGACAGACTTTATACAGTCATGTCTCTACTTAACTCTTACAGCAACTTAACTTTTAATTCGAGCAAGAGATAGTCATGCAAAATAAAATGGCTATACACACATGCAGTGGCCTGATAACATATTTGTACACAAGAGCAGTGACAGATTGCCCCCTATTGGGCAAAACGTTTTTTACTCCAACAAAACAGTGACGCTCCAAAAGTCCCACACTTTACTTCTACTAACCAATCATCTTGTACACTTTCTATTCTGTTGCAGGTTTCCTTTTTAACATTCACAAGTGCTTAAACAAGGGTAAAAATCTACAACAGCTCTTAATACTTCATATATCCACATACATTTAACAGCAGTGGTAGCACTTTGCATGTCTAATAATGTAATGTTTTAATATGTTAAAGGTACAAAGAATATTAGATTGAGCCAAAACAGCTTTTGTAAGTGTTCGAACTATGATGGAAACGCCTGCAACGGTATTATGATTCATTTCATTAGATCATTTTAAATTTATCTCAGTAATAATTTTGTCAAAATACAAAATGGTATGGGATTGAAAATTACATGTTTGTGTGTTTATGTGTGTTTTGATATGCAGGTTTAATAGAAACACAGTACAATCTAACTTTCAGTGGGGATATGAATATAAATTGTGTATCATGTAAGCCACCACAAAACATGTCCACCACTCCTTCCCCACCAGAGAGCAACAGCACAGAAAAGCCACCGTAAGTATCTATTGATAGCTATAAACATAACAGTTCCATGCAGTTTATTTGAGTCAGCATATTAAAGCAACATTTTGGCATTGTATTGTTAGGAGTTATGAAGTTGAACATAGTTTGCTGTATTTGTGTTTCCATTACAGAAATATTACGGAAAACATTTCCACCACTCTTCCCACACCAGAGAGCCACAGCACAGAAAAGCCATCGTAAGTATCTATTGATAGCTATAAACATAACAGTGCCATGCACTCTATTGGAGTCAGCATATTGGAGCAACATTTTGGAATGGCATTGTTACGAGTTGTGAAGATGACCGTAGTTTGCTGTATTTGTGTTTCCATTACAGAAATTTCACAGGAAACATTTCCATCACTCTTCCCCCAAAAGAGAGCAACAGCTTAGAAAACGCAGTGTAAATATCTATTGATAGCTATAAATATAACAGTGCCATGCACTCTATTTGAGTCAGTATATTGGAGCAACATTTTGGAATGGCATTGTTACGAGTTGTGAAGATGACCGTAGTTTGCTGTATTTTTCCATTACAGAAATATCATGGGAAATCTCTCCCTCCTGGTGAAAATGATGGGAAATGCCCTTACAGCAGAGATTACAATAGGCAATATTAAGGGAGTGATCTCTAAACTTTCCCGCGAAGATCCAACCAACATCAACGTTTGCATTACAAGTGAAGTCTTTGTACGCAGTTTGCCATGATGCAAGAGTAAAACACAACATTAAGTAGTGTTAAATAACCCAATAGTTTTCTGAAAATCTTTATTTGTCTATCATTTTTTGTAGATTCTTCCGAGTAAGTCTCGTTGGGGGAATAGCTTCTCTCGATTGGTGCAAATCCCTAAAGAGGCCAGCGAAATGGCACTAAAAAGAAATGGTTCATTTGTTGGAGTGATGCTTTTTCCAGGAGTGCCTAAGGTAAAAGTAAAGGTTGACCTAATAAAGCATGCTGTTTTGACAACTTTAATATAAATACAATGACATCCTGTGCAACTGTAAACAGCTCTCCACTCTCAACAGGATGACTCCAACTACTCTTTTTTCAACAATGAGGTACTGGGAATTGAAATGGGAACAAAAATATCCAATCTCTCACAGACCATAAACATTCAGTACAAAAATGTGGACAAGGTAAAACAGATGACAGGTCAATGATATATTAGTAGGTTAATAATAATTGGTTATGGAAAGAATGATGATACTGATTTTTCTTTCTTATTCTAATACAGAATGGGAACATTGCGTCATGTAGGTCATGGGATGGCAACGGTACTTTAAAAAAATATTCTTTAAAGCTGCCTTGGAAAAATTAAAATCCATTGTCTGACAGCAGACTCTGTCACACCTTGCTCAGCCATTGATGCAAAAAAGACTTTCTTTTTAAGTAAAGTAGTGTCATCTGCCTTTGCAGCAAATGAACAGACCTGGCTCACAGATGGATGTGAAACAAATGAGACTGATGACAGCATCACGTGCCAGTGTTCTCATCTAACATTTTTTGCAATACTGCTGGTAAGATGATTTCATTACAAGTAATTCAAGTTTTTTTGTTTCACACATAACCTAACACGTCTTTCTCTCCATCAGTCACCTGCACCTCAGAACATAAGCTCTTCAGATTTTACAGCTCTTAGCTACATCACATCAGTCGGCTGTGGCCTGTCAATGTTTTTCTTGGGAATAGCTCTCTTCATGTATTGCATTGTCAGGTAAGGAATTGCTGGGCAGTTTTTAATTCCAACTCATTATATCAAAGGCTTTTTTGCTGACATTAAGCCAACTCACTCCACAGAAAACAGGAAGCAAGCCAAGCAACTAAGATCCTGATGAACCTATTTGTTGCCATGTTCACACTGAACTTCTCCTTCCTGGTAAATGAGAGCATTGCCAAACTAAGGAACGTCACTGGATGTGTGGTGATGGCGGCAGTTATGCATTACGCTATGTTGGCCACTTTTACCTGGTTTTTCATGGAGGCTCTACACTTGTACTTTAATCTATGCAAGATCCCTTCTGAAATCAAACATTACATGATGAAGATTTGCATCTCAGGATGGGGTAAGAGAACTGAACCTGATATAGTTGAACGAAACAATCACATGTGCTTAAATTCATACTACAGATAGAACAAATATGTCTATACTCAATTGTCTTTCTCTTTAGTCACACCGGCTATAGTGGTGATCGCCCTTCTTGCTTTGGGAAAATATGATTACATTGTCATTAATGCCAATGATGACAATTCAGCAAAAATGTAAGCGACTCCTACTGACCTGCAAGTCTGATACCAACATTTCTTATTCACAAGAAGAGATTCATGTTACTTTAATCATGATTTTCAGGTGCTGGATCTCTGATGCTGATGTCCACCGGGGGGTTAACGTCGGTTATTATGCCGTAGTGTTCAGCTTTACCTTTATCATATTCATCGTAACTGTGCTGCAGATTGTTAACTTGAAGAAAACAGCAGAGAAAGCCAACAACACCAGCTCCATCAAGACAAACTCTTTCTCCATCATAGGCCTGTTGCTCCTGCTTGGCATCACCTGGGCCTTTGCTTTCTTCAGCTATGGACCTCTGCTCATACCCTCCTATTACATCTTCACCATCCTCAACTCCTTTCAAGGTAGACTCCGAACTGACACAATTTGAAGTACACTCAAACAGTCTAATTTACTTTTCATCAAGCACCAAAGTCTAAGCATGATACAATCTTTGTAACCAAACTACCCTGTTCTTACAGGTTTCTTCCTGTTCATCTACTACTACAATTCCAGCAAGATTGTTGGAGAGAAGAGAACACTCAGCAGTAGCAGCACACCTGGAACAAACACAACTGTGACATCTCCTTATCAATGAAGTGTTTGTAGTGTACTTGCTTTTCAAATGGGGACAGAAAGTTATCTATTTTTGACACAAGAGGGCAGCATTTCATTTCATGTCAAGTAGTAGTAGTTAAGTAGGTTTCTCATTCTCCCTGACTCTCCCGCCCTCCTGTTATGAAATGCCTTGTGTTCCTGACTGAATGACTACCTTAACCTGAAATGGCTAATCTGGATTACCTTCATTGAGAAAATTACTCAAATGAGTTGAGCACTGGCAGGGGAGATGGAGTAATCTGGTGGAAGTAATTAGTGTCAGTGGCTCTGTGTTTCAACAGAAGCCCCATCTGAGTCACTGTGAAACTTTGCAGAGAAGGTTATGATTCATTCAGAATATATCATAGAGATCCTAATTCAAAGCTTCAGTCATACACTGGAATGCAGACTGCAAATGTTTATGAAGGAAAATATGAGCGTTTTATGACTGATGTGGTTGTCAAATGGACTGAAGATGGTTAAGCGCAGGAAAAACAAGGTGAAGGGAAGACTTGTTCCTCACATACTTTGCAGTGTTGGGGGCTGAGCTAGCCAGCTAGCTCTTTGCGTGCCTGCAGATAATTACTTTGTGCCTACAGAGAGCAATATCCACTGTGCGGGGAGTCTTAACTGGCCTTACAAGAAATGAGCTCATGGCTACCTTTAGTGATAAGCGGCCTGAGGGCATGCCATTATGATACTGAAATATGACTGTATTTAACAAGCATTTATACCATTTAATATAAGTCTAAGTCTGTAAGTCTATCTTGGTAAGCAGCGTTATGTTATTGATAAGGAGTCATTGGGAATTGTGTATTGTGTGTTGTTATCCATTAATTTGTATATTTTTTCTCTATACCTGATTCAATTAAGAACTAATGTATTCAATATTCTTTTTAGATTTAGAGTTGATAACAGATTAAATCTTAAAACATTAACCATGTTATATAATCTTTGGATCTATAGATATCTGCCTTCTTTGCTAGTTTATTTTTTTCTTCATTTTGTTTTATTTTACTAGCCTTACAGGGAACACAGTCTCCTCTTTTATTTACTTATTTGTGATCACAGGGGCTTGTTAAGGTTGACTTTGATGAAATGTGGTAAGGTGTGTTCCTTGATTCAGCATCTCGAGACAAGACATGACATTAATTTACATGTGTAGTTGCTTTTGTGAATGAAACTGCAGTAATAAAGTGTAATATGTTTATGGTATCTTAAGTGGACACCAGAGTAGTCTTTCCTTATGCAGCACTCTGGACGTGTAGGGTTGGGGAGTGATATTCAGAGAGGACAGCCTGTTTATTTATCTATGACTAATTGATGATGACTCTTCTAAATGACTGCAGCGTGCCAGCCAAAAACTAGGGTAATTACTGCCATACACATCTGATTTGTGTAGCCCCCCAAAAATAGGCCTTTCATACAGAACACAGCGGGCTTCTGTGATGTACCTGTGTGTGTCCAATCGTTAGAGCTGTCTAGGTAAACTGCATCTAAGCCCTCATCTAAAAACTGGCAGTGCTGCGATTTCAAATCCCAGCCTTGTGGTAATTACACTGCATAAAAAATATGTAAATTCCATTAACTAGAGATTTCACAGCCCATCATGTCAACATCAACAACCCTGCTTTTTATTAAATTATTTACATAATCAAGAGTTAGTAAACGGCTCCCACAAAGAGATCTTGATTTGTGGTGTACAGTTTAACTGCTTTTCTAAAAAAATAAAAATAAAAAAAAGATGCATCTAGACCTTGTGATACCGGCTTATGGGAACATTTTAATAAGTGTGTCACACGAACTTATTTTGAAATGAGAAGGGGGAGGAATGTTCAGTTTTCACGGTATCCCATAAAACTCTCTGTTACCAAAGTGAAAATGTGGCCACCAGAGTACAATTTTAATTTTTTTTTTATTTAATTTTTCTTTTTTTTTTATATGTGTTTAATAGAGGAAAACTGAGAAAACAGTTTTAATTGCTCTCAGTCTTAAACCATAGTGGCTTGGAGAAGCAGCAACACATTGGCATGCATCTTCAGGTTTTGAAGGACAAATGATATAAAACACCAAATGCCCATATAATTCTGAAATAAAGGTGAAGGAAATCATGGGCAGGTGAAGGAAATCATGGGTAGATTTCCTTGGAAAGATGCATACTCAGATAAGTTATTTTCAGCCTAAGCCAGGGAATTATTCTTGGAAAAGTACAACATTTTCACTATGTAACCTCCATCTCATTTTGATGGGAGATCATTAGTCTTTAGCAGAACAGGAATAATAAAAATTAGACTGTTCTCAATCACAGCCAAAGTGTGGATAACTTTGGTTTGATGATTGGCATATTTCAGGTGCAGGAAAAGAGACGTCGGCTTTGCATGTGTTTTATTAAATGGAGTCTGGACTGAATCCTGCCCTGTAAAAGCCAAATTGCCGATCTCAAATGACCTATAAAGCCTGAAGTCTTGTTCCTGGAACCTTGCGTGTCTGGGGGAAATATGATTAGTCAAATATAGCTACCCCTGCACCTAGATGTATCTTTTATTTAACTTAATAATAATGTACAGCTATAGAACTGCCTTTTATTGGCTTGGAGTAACCATGAAGATCTAAATGTGACCCTTCTTGAATTCTCAAGGTATGCAAATGCTAACTGGACTTTATTTTATGCACCCCTGTTTTGCCGTTTCCTTTTGGTTAACTTCCTAGCACCCCCCATCTCCCTACTCCTTTTTCATAAATCCCCAAAATGATTTATTTCCTCCTAACTTTGCTCATGAAATTGATGTGGACCCGGGGCCTTTGTAGCGTCTGGTTTCCCTGCTGGCTGCAGTAAAATCAGGCTGAGGTCCAGGCACGGGGCAATGCTTGCGTGACTGAGAGCACCCGCCTCCTTGAATGTCACAATGTGGCCCCCAGACTCTAAGCATGCAGGCTGATAGATTTGAGGGCCCATAGTTAAGTGTGTAGATTTATGATGGGCGGTTTCAGCATGTCAGAGAACTGTGTTACTTTTGCAGGGAGCACAAAATGAGGCCTCTTTCTAGAGGAAAACAGGGAGAGAAGAGGAAAAAAAAATCCAAGGTGCTTTCAGGTTACTGGCCTTGACATGGGAAACTCTCCAAACAACACACCGCTTTGTAATTCAGGAGAGGAGGCCAGATGGCTGTAGACGCATACGCAGCACCTGACTGAGATGAACTGTCTTTCCTGAGTCCTGGAAGTCAGCTCTAGCTCCGTCTTTGCTGTTCATCAACATCTTTCGTCAGGTATGGAGACGATGTGGTGAGAATGGAGGGGTCATGAAAGGAGAGAAGAGGAAGGGAGGGGGAGGTGACTGAGGGCTCGACCTGTTGAAAACCTGACCTCTGGATTTCAAGCCTCTCCTCCCTACAGTGGCCTGTCTCTCCTTCTCACGTCATGTGCAACAGCAGGAAGGATCATTCCCCTTCATGTCACGTAATGGGGTTCTCTTTGCATTCCCCCCCACCACCCTGTAACCTTAGCAGCTCCTCATTGCTCACTCACCGCTGAGCAAAGCACAGGGCCTGATAAAAATTGGGAAACCTAAAGATCTCTCACACATTCAGATCTGTTCGTCAAATGTCACCAGGTCTATCACAATAGCGCTATCGTGTAGCTGACAAGTATGGGGCTGCACATTTTGCATGCAACAGCGCAAAGCATTTTTGTTCAACCATCAGAAAGGACAAATAATAATAGAAACAAGATGAGAATTTATTATGTTTGTTACTATACATTGTTTGAATAAAACCACTAGCAAAGTAACTTTCGGTGGCTTTGCTAGGCAGCGAGAAAAGTTGTATTTTACCACAGAACTTTAAGAGAAGGCTGAATAAATAAAAACAGCTGTCAACATCTAATATTGATAACACATGTAAATAATCTCTAAAAATGTCCACAGTAATTTATACATAAGACTCTGGAATACATGTAATTATATCATCCTTCGTTCTTAGAAGACACTGCTGCCTGTGTTTCACTCTCATTCAAGCAGGATTTAAACAGCCTCTATAACTACCAGTTTGGTCCCACACTTTAGAGACATGAAAGCGTATGGTTAAAAAGCTAAAGCCGTCTGGATTCCCTCATACTGTGCCTAGTTTGCTTGCTATTGACTTGGCTGTCGTTTGGCCTTTAAAATTCACACTTGGTGAGGTTGTGGTATTTGCTTCACACAAATGGTGCAGGCTTCCCCACAATGCTGAAAGGTTTACTATTGGGACTGATTCACCCGCTGGTTTACTGCTGCAGAATTACAAAATCTTCACAGGTAGAAAATGATCACTTTGCTAAACAGCTAAGTGAACTCAGTCAACAGTGAACTCAGTAACACATTTAGTAACCAAATGAGCTAAAAGGAAGTGAATGTTGGAGTTATATTCACCATGTGGCCAGAAATATGACTCCACAATAATGCTACTGTTGCGCCATGTCTGCTATGTTTAAATAAGCAGCAGTTTTCTGAAAAGTTTACCGTATGACTTTATATGGTGAAAATCATAGACAAAGGTAAAATATGTCAATGTTACAGCTGCCCCCAAGTGGCCAAAGTAATCAATTACAAGTTAGTTATAACGTTTTTTTCGTTTTTTGTGTCGAATCCCAAAGGAAAAGAGTGTGCGTTTTGTGTCTCAACAGTTCACATTTATACGTTCAAGTGTGTGTGTCTATGGCATATGTGCATCCTGAGCACATAGGGATCTGATTTCAGTTAAGCTACACTGTTGCCCAAGCGTGATAAACTCTGTCTATTTCCTCTGTCTCACTCCGTAGGGAGCCCTTAATCACCCTATAGTGCTTCCCTCTACACATCAGAATGTGAGAATATATTCCGTAAATAAACGAACTAAGATCACATGAAGAAAGAAATACGGAAAGCATCCACTCTTGTGCCAATCCTAATCAAATCTTGTTTGTATCTGTGTGTTAGCATTTGGGTTAGTGGCAGTTTAATGTGAAGGACCACCATAAAAGTTTGTTTCCTGGAGCAGCAGAGGAAGGTTGTTTTTTCATCTTCTCCATGGATCATTTTAATGTCTCTTGTTTGTCATTTATGGCAGTCTCAGAACATAAGGATGTGGCTCTTCTAAGTGATTCGTGTATTGTCCCAATATGTGGTCCAACCCTTTTATAAAATGGTATTGGACAAACCGCACAATTCAAGCTTGATGAGTGTTCATTTGGAAAAAATAAATCTTCTTCTGTTGCTTTCAATGTGTCCATTAAATACATGCAATGAAAGATGGGTTTTACCCCTGTGTTGCAGCAGTCGGTCAGTAATAATATGTTTAAAAATCATCATGTGAAAATTTCACAACCCTGTGCCGGGAATATAAGTCAATAGACCAAAGAGCATTTTGACTCTGTGGGCTTCTTCCTGCTCTACAGCTCCTTGTTAGAGACTAGTGTCTGTGTTTACAGCCAAAGCATGACTTCCAGCTTCCAAAGCCAGACAGCTCCAAGTGATTCCATGCCAGCAGAGGTATTGACTGAAGCGGCGGCAGAGGTTAATCTGGAACATACTTGTGACTGTGTCAGGCTGTGTTATCCTGTTGTACCGACATCCTGCTTGATTTATGGGCTTCGTCTTGCTGCTGTTCACAATGTCTCTTCTCTGATTTAAAGGATTAGTGGGAAGTGATGTCAGCTGAAGTTCCCTGCTTCTCTGTCTCATAATTTTCATGAAGGTCTTGGTGTCAAGGTGTCCATATGTAGCACCGGGTGGAATTAGATGCAATAACTGATGCAAACAATTTCCCACACCTCCGCCTCACGAATAGGACTATCTTCTTTTTCCAATCTTGTCACGTTGTTGTGTTGAGCTAATGATAGTCCACTGAACACGGTGGAGAGTAAAATCAACCAGTGAAATTCAGTCTGCATCCAGAGAATTAGGACCACATGTTCTAACATACTGTTTTCTCCTCCTGTCAGTGTCTTTATTTATTTAGTCATTGCAAAATTTTAAATAGCCTATGGCCTTTGCAAGATGACTTCTCTTTTGCCTACTTGAGATTTTCACTTCCTCAAGATGTTAAATTTCCACTGGTGGCCTACAGGAGGCAACTCAAGGTAAGCCTGTCAGAGATAAGACCATAAATATCAATTTATAACAATTTACATTTCAGGTCAACGCTCAGTGTAGGAATAGTATGCCCTGTATAAATAAACTTTATTTATTTAGAACTTTA